ACTTGACGAGCTTCAGTCTCTTCGCCTCTGCTACGATGCCACCGACATTCGTTTGCCTGCATCCCTCGACTTGTGTGCGCTTATTCGCCACATTGTTCATAAAGAGCTTCACGGGCGCTGCTATTCCTGCGCTGCGGAAGTTACTTTCCCTTCTGAAAAAGATAGCTTGCGAGACCTGATTAAACAAGAGATCGCGTCCGACGTGTTCCAACGGTCCCTGCGTGCGCCAGACGCGCACGTACGCCGAAGTTGCCGCGCTCTCTGCCGCATCCACCGTTTCTGTGCCTACACCAGCAGACAATACGCCTGTGGCTTCGTTGTCACCGCCAGTGCATGCACCGCCTCACTACGCACCTCAGCGCCCACCTCGACCAATCTGTTACTAGTGCGGCTATCGAGGACATATCGCTCGGTTTTGTTGAAGGCGCCAACAAGACAAGCAACGTGGCTACGTTCCCGAAGAACAGCGAAGCTTCCGTCCGACTATGAACTACCTACAACCACCCTCCCAATCGACCTATTACTGTTCACCGTTCTCTACTTACCATACTGCCATGCCTGGGAATTCCCGTACGTCTCGCCGAAGGTCGCCTTTGCCAGGTCGCCGTTCAGTGTCGCCTCTGCAGCCCGCCTCCCATTTCACGAACGCCCACACAGAAAACTCCCCAATGCAGTTTTAGGAGGGGAAACTGCACCACCGGACAGCTAACAATTCCTGCATAGCGGCCATCGAATTTGATAGCAATGTTTGTAGAAGGTGTACACGTTGAGGCTCTTGTAGACAATGGCACTGCCATTTTTGATTATTCATGCTGATTTTCGTTCCTGCCTTCGAAAAGCCACCACGCCTTATGGTGGCCCACATCTCCGTGCAGCAACCAACGCTTTTCTTTGTCCACTTGCACAGTGTAGCGTTCGTGTCTGCATAGAAGGCATTTGTCATCACATAGTTTTCGTGGTATTTCGTGAGTGCACCCTGCACCCACTTTCTCATTCTGGGGTGGGATTTCTTGTCTTCTGCGTCCGCTTTCATATCTTGTAATCAGCGCCTCCCGCATCTAAATGCCACTGACTCTTCTTCGTTTGAACACGATGGACGCATCCGCCTTGTCACCACGTCAGATTATGTACTTCGGCCATACATTGAAGAAATAAGTGTTGATTGCACCGACATTGTGGATGGTGACGTACTAATTCTCCCTTACGGTCATACCCTACGTAGGGGCATTGTGATCACACCAGGGCTTATTCGCTTCTTCGATGGGTCTACCTACCTAACCGCCATAAATCAAACGCCCGAGTGTGTACTGCTTCTCTGTGGCTCAACAGTATCTTGCGCGGTCGACAGTGAGCCTGTTGCGATTGTTACTCTTCCGAACAACAACCACAACGATGTCCCAAAGTCACAATCCCTGCCATTCAATACCTCTTCCACACCTGTGTTGGCAACCATAAGCACCAACTTAACCCCTGATCAAACTGAAGATTTGCTCGCCCTGTTGAATAGACCCCGTTCTCTATTTTACGTGAACTCGCCCGCCCTCAGCATGACTACCACCGCTACTCACAGTATCCAGACTGACGGCTCTCGTATTGTACATCAGCGTCCATATCACGTGTCTCAGGCAGAATGCAAGATCATTGAGAAAAACGTCTCAGACATGCTACGACGCAACATCATACGTCCTTCCTCGAGTCCCTGGTCATCCCCAGTTGTTCTTGTTCAAAATAAAGATGAACAGTGCGTTTCTGCGTTGATTACCGTGCCCTAAACAAAATAACGCGCAAGGATGTTTATACTCTCCCTCGGATCGACGATGCACTGGATTCATTACAGGGCACAGAGTATTTTTCTAGCCTCGACCTTAGGTCAGGCTACTGGCAGATACCAATGTCGAAGTCTGATAAAGAGAAGACTGCTTTTTCAACGCCAAATGGGTTGTACGAGTTTAATGTGATGCCTTTTGGACTTTGTAATACACCCGCCACCTTCAAACGCATGATAGACGGCGTACTGCGTGGTTCGAAATGGAAAACGTGTCTGTGCTATCTCTATGACATAGTGTTTTCATCCACGTTCTCGCAGCATCTACAACGTATTGACGAAGTTCTCACATGCCTTGCAAAAGCCGGTCTACTGCTTAACACCAAGAAATGTATCTTTGCTAGCAAGACAATCAAGGTTCTCGGCGACCTCGTCAGCAAAGAAGGAATTCGGCCGGACCCCTAGAAGCTTGCCGCCGTTCTCGATTTTCCTCGTCCACTGCGTCAAAAGGACCTGCGCAGCTTGCTTGGGTTATTTTCTTACTTCCGGCGCTTCATACGTGGCTTTGCGAAACATGCGTCTCCGCTCCATCAACTCCTTGCAAGGAATGTCCCCTTCGTTTGGTCCAAAGACTGCGAAAGCGCTTTCACGGCATTGAAGCAAGTCCTCACGTCGGATCCGGTACTGTGCCACTTCGATTCCACTGCACCCACGATCCTTCACACCGACGCAAGTAGTCATGGTCTAGGTGCGGTACTTTTGCAGCGTGACAAAAACTCACGCGAACGCGTCGTTGCTTACGCAAGTCGTGTTCTTACCGCTGCGGAAAAGAACTACACTATAACCGAGCAGGAGTGCCTTGCTGTTGTTTGGGCAGTGCAAAAATTCCGACCATATCTTCACGACCATCATTTTATCGTCGTTACCGACCATAACACCCTATGCTGGCTTTCATCGCTGAAAAACTTATCGGGTCGCCTCGGTCGCTGGGTGCTTCGCTTGCTGGAGTACGATTGCGATGTCGCCTACAGATCTGGGAAGAAGCATCAAGATGCTGATGCTCTATAACGCTGTACTTTGCCCAGCGGAGGCCACTCACCATCGATACTCCAAAACGACAGCACCTCTCCAATCGCAGCGCTAAGTTCATCACCTGCTACCCTATCCGTCCTTGTTTCACAACAACGTGTCGACCCATACTGCCGCATTATTGTTGACCGCTTGACCGGCTCTACTACTCCTCCAAACACCAGACTCCCTCGTCAACTTAAACAATTTAAGCTTGTCGGCAGTGCTTTACACCGCTATATTTACCACATCGATGGCAACAAGTGGGTACCCGTCATCCCACGTTCTCTGCAACGTGAAGTTCTGGAAGCCTTTCATGATGATCCAACCGCCGCTTATCCAGGCTATCACAAGACGACAAAATACGAAGTCATTGTTTCTGGCCTGGCCTCTCTTCAGCCGTCGCTAAGTACCTTGCCTCGTGTCCATTGCCAATGGTGAAAACGACCGACAACTTCTCCGGCTGGCTTAATGCAACCTCTTCCTTGTCCTGCCTCGCCTTTTGAAGTCGTTGGAATCTACTAGTATGGCCCTCTTCCTATATCATCCAATAGGAATCGCTGGATTGTCACGGCCGTCGACCACCTTCCCTGCTACGCAGAAACAGCTTCTATACCATCTGGGACTGCCCCTGGGGTGGCACGATTGCTTTCTTCGCCATAACCTTTTGTGTCATGGAGCTCCATGCATTCTCCTGAGTGGTCGTAGCAAAGTCTTCTCTCTTCCATTGTCGAGCAAGTTTTGTGTGCCTCGAACACTGTTCACAAAACCCCTTCTAGCTAACACTCGCAGACCAACGGATTGACTGAACGGTTTCATCGGACCCTATCGGATCGCCATGTACATTCACCCCAACCACACGAACTGGGATGCAATTCTACCCTTCATGACATTCGCCTATAATACGGCTGCTCAATGCACTACCGGCTTTTCTCCATTTTTTTTTCTCGTCAATGGTCGCTTGCCAACTTTCGCTCTGGATTTCTTTTTCCTTCCGGCCCCTGCACCCTCGACGGCTCCTTTCTCTGAAGAATTTTTATCTCGTCTCACACACTGCCGTCACCAGGCCCGTGTTAACACAGGCCTCTCTCAAGACACTTGAAAATCTCGCTTATGACTCGTCTCGCCGTGTTGCGAGTTTTTCCTCTGGTGACGAAGTTCTTCTATGGACTCCACTACGCGTCCCCGGATTATGCGACAAATTCATCAGTCGCTTCATTGGGCCGTACACGGTGGTCGAACAGACATCTGTCGATTACTGCGTTTCTACTCTTAGCGCTAATCCTGATCATCGTTGCCGCGGAACAGAGATAGTGCACGTATCTCGTTTAAAGCCTTACGCGCGATTCATTTCATAATACTGTCAAGCGACCATGCGGCTGCTTTAACCGCGCGGGCTAAATAGTGTGAGCGCGACAAGCAAATGACTCTTCATTCTCTTTAGATATCATCATCACCAGTACACCTTCATCATCTGTAAATATCATCACCAGTGTGATTTAGCTCGAGCCTGGCTGAGTAAACCGGTTCCTCAAAATATATGCTTGTTTTTCCCAAACAAATTTTAGTTGCAAGTCAGTGCCAGTCTTTTTTCGTCGTGATTTTGTGTGCCCTGTGTATTAACCTAGATGAACGCATCAACTCGCTCAAGCTTCCATTGTTATGCAGATCATTTTTTGGGGCCCTTTCAATTCTTCTCCATTTATCCTCAAAAACTTTGAATATTGTCCGATATGCCTTCCTTGGCTTCATTATTTTTACGGTAATGTTGGAAAATCTCACTAGCAAAGTCTCATCACAACACGTGTGGGAATAGGTTCCCTGTTGTTCAATATGAGGTGTTGATGGGAAATCAAGTCGTCCCAATTCAGCAGCCAACAAGCGCTTGCCCTTTTCATACACGAGAAAAAGGAAGTAAGCAAACTGATTCGATGTTAACTGTGATCTTAACTTGAAACTTTAACAAAATTATATAAAAAGTGCAAGCAGTAGGTAACAAAACGGTGGATTGAGTCAATGCAACCACATGTATTTTACTGGTTTTACACTGTGCTTAAGTCAAATCTTTTTGCCAAAAATAGTAAACCGCTCCACAGCGATAGTAAAAGTCAACATAATAGTACTAGTTATTCATCACTGCCACAATTCACATGCAATAAATAGTTACCTTTACACAGAGGCCAAATAGCTTGAGGAGAACAGTGAGCAATGGCCGGCCCCGTGATAGGTCATCAATGGCAGCAAGGCGCTCGAGCATGGCCTCAAGGCCACCGCAAATGCCCATGACACGTGCCAGCCTGTACACATGCTCCTCATCCACCTGAGGACCACCAGCCTTTGCTTCAAGAGATTCCACAAATTCTTCCGTTGCATCTCCCAACAGCCCTCGCATACGGTACACTACTCGCATAGCCTCCGACTCTCCATTCTCAGGACACCAGACTTTGCGGTAGACTTCCTGTACAAACAAATTCACCATACAGGCATCCCATGTTTAGTTGAAAGACCATTTAAATGCAGTTAAGCAACACCCATAAAAAATGAAGCCCATTTATAAGGCAAGCAAGCTGGTTCACTTTAAGAACATTGGTATATGCCATAATGTACATAAATGGGAAAGAATAGTGTTGAATTATGGGAGACTCAGGGGTGCAACAGACAAAATAGCTTTCTCGGGGCAGCATAACTAATAAAAAATACTTTGACAAAAGATAAAAATATATGTACTAGTCATTCAACACCAGCTAATACATGCGCAGCACACGTTAACACTGCTATTTCAATAAAAGAAGTGTATGGTGCTGCATATGTTAATATGAACCTGCTAGCATAGTGACCTCGAAATTCTGGAGATTTGTAAAGCAGGGCTAAGTGGACACGACGTAAAAAACAAAAAAACAGGCATACGCTTGTGTCTACTTGTTTCTCAGGGTGGCAGAAACATCCTGCACAGCTACGAGGTTTCAGTAATTTTTTAGGCATCGGCAATCATACTAGTACTCATAACAACAAAGCAAAGATTAAGGAACAAAATGCGCTGCATCCCATGACAGCTAGTATTATTAACCTCTCTCCGATCTTAGTATGCTTCATTGCAAGGTACCTATGTAATGCGGCGAAAGTGGCTTAAAAAAGTGTTTTGCATGCGATGGAACAAGACGAGAAAATTTGAGAACCACTGCCCTGTTTTTTTCTTTTCTATCATGGTGGCGGTTAGGGTCTATGCATCTTGAATGTATTGAATGATAACGTCTAAACTGCATGTGGCAAATGAAGCCTTTGTGTTTTTTCGACACTAGTGCACCCGAAAAAATGATGAGGCTGGTTGGGAATTTCAACACTGTGGCATAATTTCAACAACTTTCAAAGTTTTGGCTCAGCTTGGTTCAAAAATAAGAAATTGGCACAATCGTTGCAGCCCTGCACACTGACTCCAATACCTCTATGAGAAAGAAAGTTGAAAGCAACAATACTACACCTCGACAACATTAGTACTTGTAGACTACTAAGTACCAGAGTTCCCTGTATTAATTGTTCTATGAATCTCCAAATCGAACCATCAATTTTTTTTTTGTAATTGATTAAGTCTGACAAATGCACAGGTGAAAACCTTAGCACGCTTAGTTGGTCAGGCTTGTTCGCCACAGCATAATTCTGAACAAAGTAAACATTTGGCTGTAAATATACATGAGCCTTGGAGAGAGGCAAGCATGGAGAGAAGCAAATGTCCAACAATCTTAAGGGGCCTTTTTCAAGTAACCATGGAATGAATTCACTTAAAGAGCTTATTGCCTCACGAATTCAAGGTCACAAAATTTTTAAGAATCCATCCAGTACAAGCGGAGTTACAAAGAATTGGCGCTCGCTGCAATCGTGTTCTCTCTTCTCTCGTACCCGTGAAAGCACTGAAAGCTAAGTAGGGAGGGATGGCACGGGCAAAGAAATAATGTCACGTGCACCTCTTAACCTTGAGCACTTTTTTTTTTTGAATATGCGGCTTTTTCTATGCAATCGCGCGCACACACCCAGACAAGTCGCGGAGTCCCGTGGCGATCCCTGTAATGACCGAGTGTGCCATGTTCAAGTCAACTAATGACTGATAGATGGCCTTCTACATGCAATTTTGGGCGTCTTCCGTCATTTCTTGAGAGAAGAGAAAGCGATTTTAGGAGACTGATAATTTATTGTGAATTCTAGGTTGCATGCTGCGCTATGATATTTGGCTCGCGTGTTCACTGGAGCCTCTACTACAGGTCGGCGCATTTTCTGACCATGCTCAAAAATTGTTGCAGGACCCCCTTTAAGGGTACCGACACGAATTTTGTGGCCGAGATAACATGCAGGATCGATTTCCATGAACATGCGTATTGATTGATATGTGGGGTTTAACGTCCCAAAAACCACCATATGATTATGTGAGACGCCGCAGTGGATAGCTCCGAAAATTTCGACCACCTGGGGTTCTTTAACGTGCACCCAAATCTGAGCACATAGGCCTACAGCATTTTCGCCTCCATCGAAAATGCAGCCCCTGCACGCGGGATTCGATCCCACAACCTGCGGGTCAGCAGCCGAGTACCTTAGCCACTAGACCACCGCGGCGAGGCATGAACATGCGTATATCATAGGCAAAATATAAACAGCGAATATAGCTTGGAAGGCATTTTAAATTAATTTTAATGTTCGCATGAGCAACGGACTCCCTCGTGCTAGCAACAATTGCAAATCTGACCCTTCGTGACCCCCTACTTCCCTCACGTGACCATGCTGCAACAAGTTATGATGTCATAGCCAGCATTTTTCTTTTGACACAATGTTTACTACAACAAACTACTACACGGCGGCTGCTCGCAAAGTCCGTGGTCATGGTGCACATGTTAAGGGGGCAGACTGGTCCTAGACATTTCCTTACTTTTTTTAGTGATCTTGATGAAACTGCACAGAATTATGAAACTTTTTCTGCCGATTTCAAATATTTATTAGTTTTCCTATCTAGTTCCTGAAATAACTTAAGTTCGCCCCCTACTGTTTAAGGCCGCCATAGAAAAAAAATGCTTAACTAAAAGTGATATTTACGATATACCAACATAGACTAATGACTACAGATTGAAAGTATGCAAGTTTTTTTTTTGTTTTTAGGCTTTACTGGCTATTTTAATGAAATAAGATTTCTGCCGATTACCCCCTTAGTTAAGGGTATAGAGAGTACGGAGTTGGGTCTCCGATTAGCCTATGGGGTGCTGTTTATTAATATATTAAGCGGACAAAATTTAAATTCGTTTGTGAGGTGATGTTACCAAATTAATCTTTTTAGTGATTAGGCTTAATTTTGGTCACGAAATAGTTCCGGTACTATTACTCCTGTCCTGATGAAACCTGAGCGGCGACAGGTCTACAATTAGGGATTTGCACTGTATGAGTTAGAAGTTTCCCGGTAGGTTATTAGCAAAGTTAAAAGCGATCGTAAGGGAAAAAAAAAATGAACTATCCATTTTCAGCAAAATGAACTATCCATTTTCAAAAGCAGTTGGAATTGTGTTACAATTCTGATGAGTAATTATATAAAAGGCTTGTGCTCTAAAGTATGCTCCCATACTTGCATTCTACACACATACAGGTTTGCATTGCAAAAATAATTGTTCTACCTGCCCTAGCTGCAGAGATATTCAGACCTCAAAATTGAACAGTGGTAAATTTACTTTTTTGATAAAAATGGAAAAAAAAAAAAAACTGAAAACACACAGCTTCTTTCAAAAAGCAACAAACATGGTGCACATGTTTTGCAATCCTCATAAAGGTGCTCATAAATCCGTAGCAGAGCTTCTAACACAGGTGCCGGCAAATTATAAAAAAGCCTCGAAGCCCGTTCCCCGTTTTTCGCTGGTTCTGTATGTTAACAGCATTAAGAATCTGGACAGTTAGAATGACATTACAAAAAAAATTGTCCTGAAAGCACCGGTTGCAAGTTGGATACCCAGATGATGAACGGGGTCTAGAATTTTTAATGCACTTGGTGTTGCGGAGTGATAAATTATAGAGGCATAATCAAGGCACGACCAGACAAGACTTTTGTACAACTTCAAGAGGCACTTTTGATCATTACCCCATGTTGTACGTGATAGGAGCTTTAGGACGTTCATCGCTTACAGACATTTCATTTTTACATATTTAATATGAGGAATAAACATGAGCTTAGAATCTTAAGTGGTTCCCAGGAGTTTATGCTCACTGCTCACAGAGAGTTGGTCTCCCTTGATCGCAACATTTGGTAGTGGCATTACCCCTCGTTTGTTGGAGAAAAGTACGCAACTACTTTTCTGGGTGTTTATTTTAAAACCATTCTCATCCGCCCATTTAGAGAATTTATTCATTCCAAGCTGTACTTGTTGTTCGCAGATGACATATTGCATGATTTGAAACTCATCAGCACATCATCAACATACATGGAATAAAACATCGTGCTTGGAATTACTGACTGCAGGGAGTTCATTTTTACAAGAAAGAGTGTGCAACTAAGCACGTCCCCTTGCGGAACACCTGTGTCTCTTGGGTAAATGATCTAGAGAAAGCATTTCCCACTTTTACGCGAAAGGTTCGGTTAGACAGATAACTTTCAATTGTGTTTAACATGTTCCCATGGATGCCCAAGGCGGCAAGATCGCGTAGAATCCCGAATCCCCATGTGGTATCATACGCTTTCTCCAAGTCTAGGAATACCGAAAGTACAAACTGCCTATGAATAAATGCATCTCTGATGTATGTCTCTATGTGAACAAGCGTGCCTATTGTCGACCTCCCCTCTCTGAAACCACACTGAAGGGGGTCTAGTATACTGTTACTTTCTAGAAAGTGGATTAAGCGCCGGTTTAACATTTTCTCATATAGTTTGCATAGACAGCTTGTTAACGCTATTGGACAGTAGCTGGCGGCCAAGGACGGGTCTTTGCCTTGTTTAAGCACTGGGATGACTATTGCTTCTTTCCATGACAATGGAATATACCCAGCTTCCCATATGGTATTGAAGAGGGTTAGGAGTGTTTTTAGTGCTTCGGGGTGAAGGTACTTGATCATTTCATACATTATACGATCACCACCTGGCGCCGAGTTGTTGCAGCACTTAAGAGATGCCTTAAGTTCAGCTAATGTAAATGGGCAGTTGTAAGCCTCACTGCATGGACGTTTACATTTAAGGGGCAGCCACTCTTTGAGTTCTTTTAATCTTAAGAACGTTTCTGTATAGTGTGATGCACTTGAGACATGTTCAAAGTGTTCGCCTAGGCAGACTGCCTGCTCCTCCAGGCTCTCACCTTGGCTACTTAACAAGGGTAGGGGGTGTGACTCCCAACCCATTAACTTGTTTACCCTATTCCAAACCTTCGTTTCGCCGGTGTAAGAATTTATACCAGAGATGTACCTATTCCAACTTTCTTTCTTTGCAAGACGACATGTTCTTCTGGCTTGTGACTTGACCTGTTTGAAATTGACGAGGTTTTCAGCTGTTCGGTAATTTCGGAGTAATCTCCAAGCTTTATTTTGACTATTGTGCGCTTTTCGACAATCGTCGTTCCACCATGAGATGCAGTGCTTATTAGTCATTTCGTTGGTTTGCTTAATACATTTCACTGCAGTGTCAATAATAAAACCTGTTAGGTAATGATTGATTGATTGATATGTGGTGTTTAACGTCCCGAAACCACCATATGATTATGAGAAACGCCGTAGTGAAGGGCTCCGGAAATTTCGACCACCTGGGGTTCTTTAACGTGCACCCAAATCTGAGCACACGAGCCTACAACATTTACGCCTCCATCGGAAATGCAGCCGCTGCAGCCGGGATTCGAACCCGTGACCTGCGGGTCAGCAGCCGAGTACCTTAGCCACAAGAGCCGCGCGGTGGGGCTGACTTGGTGTTCCAACGAGGAAAGTCAGGTGAGCATGTATCTTCTTTTGTTAACTTCAACATAATCGGGAAGTGGGCACTCCCAAAGGGGTTCTTGAGAACGGACCACTCCAGATATGGAATTAGTGTACTCGAAACAATACTAAGGTCTATAAAAAAGTATGTGTTGTTTGTAGTGCTATAATATGTTGGTTCTTTTTTTGTTCAGTAAACATGCACCTGACAAAAACAGAACGTGTTCCATTAGGCGTCCTCGCGGGTCTAAACGGGATACGCCCCATAGGGGATTATGTGCGTTTAGATCACCGACTATATATGGCGGAGGAAGTTCATCAATGAAGCTTTGAAATTGTGTCTTCGAAAGTTGATAGCGCGGAAGAATGTAAATAGAAGTAATTGTTAGTAGCTTCCCAATTATCACTGCTTGGACAGCAACTGCCTCAAGAGAAGTTCGGACGTTTAATTGCTTACAGGCAACACCTTTATCAACTATTATAGCGACACCGCCCGAAGAGGCGGCAGCGTTGTCACGGTCTTTGCGGAAGATGGCATCAAGTCCGTCTTCCGCTTGAGATGTGTTTTCTGAACACACAGCACCTTTGGAGTATGTTTTTTAAGTTCTCTAATATCATCGAGGTTGTGGAGAAGTCCTCTCATATTCCACTGTAAGATCTGTGTGTCCATTTTAGATGTGTTTTGTGCTGTGTGCTCAAGGATAGAAAATTAGCTCACGGGCCCTTTCCAGGAGCCATGACACGAGATTTTTCTTTTTTAGATCGGTCGACGGAGTCGCGTCGATCCTTAGGCGCTGGCTGCGCCCTCACGCTCGGTGTTGTGTCCATTGCCTCGTGCGGGGCGCTGGACACGCGCTCTTGCGAGCGCTGCATTTGTTGTGAGGGCCTCGCCTCAAAAGACGAGAACTTCGTGGCCCCCATTCCGGAGGTTGGTGGGTCCTTCTTGGATGGTGGAGCAGCACTGGCTGCAACCGCCGAGGGGGCGGATGACGCATCGCCGGCTCACTACGCGTGTGCCATACAGCCGCTGGAGGCCGTTGTGGCGCTGCCCCCTGACGCGCCACTTCGGCAAAGCTGGTTTCTGGTAGGTAGGACACCTGCCTACATGCCTCCTTAAATGAAATGTTTTGTTTTACTTTAATTGTGACAATTTCCTTTTGTTTTTTCCAGCATGGGCATGACCGTGAGTATGCGGCATGCTCCCCATTACAGTTCGCACAATGAAGAGAGTTTTCAGAGGCATCAGATGTGTGTTCTTCAGCACTGCATTTCGCGCAAGTTAGGCAGCCTCGGCAGTTCTGTGAACTGTGGCCGAACTGCTGGTATTTGAAACTAAGAGGGTTTGGTATATATAGCCTCACTCGAAGCCTGATGTACCCAGCCTCGATGGAGTCGGGCAGTACACTTGAATTGAAAGTAATTATCAGGTGCTTAGTCTGGACATCTTTGCCATCTTGCCTCATCCTAATTCATTTCATGTTGATGACATTCTGTTCACTGAAACCCTCCAGGAGTTCAGCCTCCTTCAGCCCTAACAGGTCATCATCTGAAACAACGCCACGGGTAGTGTTTATGGTTCGGTGTGGGGTTACTATTAAATTGGTATCTTCAAAGTTCACTAGATTAGGCAGTCTCTCATACTGTTTCTGGTCGCGGAGCTCTAACAAGAGGTCACCACTTGCCATTCTCGATGCTTTATATCCTGGGCGAAACATTTCCATCAAAGACTTCGAAACTAGAAAAGGTGAAAGTGTTAGCACTGGTTTGCTGGGTGTGTCAGCGTGGATAACAAGGAAACGGGGAAAAGATACTCACTGGTGACCAAAAAACGGGAAGACTTCATCTGTGCGCCCTCTTTTCTGAGGGCGATCAGCGAGTGGGGAAAAGAAACTAGCCATATGTAAATGTTTCATTTTCGGCAGCGGCGCCAGCCACCCACCATGGAGTCCTACAAGGGGACGCTGCAGGGTCTGTAAGTACAGGCCCTGCAGACGCCAGCTGTACGCCACCACTATAACCTAATATGGTGTATCTAAGGTAGGATAGCCACACAGGGTTAACCCTTACCGCCAGGAAACACGGAAGTCAATGGAAGAGAGTAGAGGACAGGGAAGATTTAAAGTAAGAGAAAAGACGAAGATGTGAGGGGGAGACAGGAAAAGGGGACTGCCGATTCTCCCGGGGCGGGTCAATCCAGGGGTGCCGTCTACGTGAAGCTGGGGCCGAAGGGGTGTGTTGCCGCCGCTGGGGGGCCTTAAAGGTCCAATCACCCAGCATTGGCTTAACCCCCAGGATCCCCTTTTCCCCCGACATGGCGAAGCCACACACGGCTAGGCGTGGGAGGGGGTTAAAACCCCCTTGTTAGCTCGGGTCCGTGGTGTCGCTACACACCAAACGCCTGCCTGCGCAGACGCCCTTGCGGGGAGACCGAAATACTCTTTACTATGGAGGTCTGTTGTAATGAGGTTATACTGTATGTTCGAATTAACCATTGCAAGTGCTTGCACGTTCGAATTACCAGGCATTTACATTAATTGGAATACACATAGCTTTAATGGGACCACAACGTGAGTTCTAATTAATCAAAAGTTTGAATTAAGCATGTTCAAATTAATAAAATTCAACTCTATAAAGGTTTAATGCTATTACCATATTAGCAGAAAGAGAAAAAAGGAAATGATGTACCTTAACAGGCAGATCAAGGCTCATTATCTTGTTGCAGACTAGCAGCTCCATGCCATTATCATCCTCGAGCAAGGCCACCAACTCGCAGTCCTGGCACACCTTGTTCTTGAGATCGCGCATTAGTGGCCCCATGCCAGGCTCGTTTGAGTTGTATGGGTTACCCACCATGCGCCCCTGGAGGAAGTCTTCCTGCTGCGGGTCTTTCTCAAGAGTCACCAGGAACTCGCCTAGCTCGTTTTCCTCAGGGTGGATCAATGAGCAGAGCCGTTCAAAGATAAACACCGGTGTTCGAAGGTCCTCCAGTCCATAACGGCCTAGCGTTGCGACGCACACTGCCATGAAAGCTTCAGTCTCCGATTCTGTGCCTGTTGTCATTTCTTCTAGCAGTGTCAACAATTTTTCTTGCGTCTCATCGATCAACTTTGTGCGCTGAACCACTAGCTTGCGCAGAGACAAGTAGCCATTGAGCACACATCCAACAAGACGTGACTTATATTGCTGCCGGATGGAGTTCACTTCAATGAACGATGAAAGCAGCTCTGTGAGCATCTTCAGGGCAAAACCTGCATGTAGAGACACCGTCAATGTTTTCCTGACGAAAGTACAACAGACAACTAGAACAAGTATGTACTACACTTAACAAGTGCTCTCTCTATAGGTGTGGATCATGCAATTATTAGGACTTAGCATACTTTTAAAGAATAAATGCGCATAACTTGTGGAGGGCTAGATCGAAGAGTTGGCCCACAAATGTCACTTATGTACTATTCAAAGATTCTTTGAACTTCCAAGAGTGATTTTGTAAACCAGCTTAAGCCTGCATAAGATGCTTGACTACGCCATACACATAAAACAAATTTCCTACAAGTTATATTGCCATTGCTGTAAATATACAATGGAATAACTATCACATGTTCAATTCCTTATTGAAAAAATTGTAGAGCAAAGTACGCAACAGTGTCTGAGCACAAGAAACTCATATGAATTGCTTTTACATAACTAAATAAGGTTTCCCAGAACAGTAAAAGATTGTTAATTTGGAAAATCAGACAATTTAGACCTGTTCTTTGGCTCTAGTGTGGCATACATTTATTTAATTATATCAAACTCTCATTATGTGGATATATTTGAACGCATCATGTGCAAAGCAAAAAAGTGAAAGAGGTGTCAGCATCAAACCGACACAGTGTGTGGCATAGTCCACACCCTGATCATTGGTCTTTCAAGAGTCACATTACCGTAATTATTGGAATCTAGGCCGATAGTTTTTAAAAAATTTTCTTGTATCAAACCCCAGGGTCGGCTTAGATTGGCGGATTTTAAAAAACGCGACATTATTCATTGAGAAAAGCGGTGCACAACTATCGCCACCTAGACTACATTGTAGCCGTTAGTAGCCGAGCCAACACCTGGCTTAAGTACACACTTGAGGCCGCTATTTTGATCTTTGTGGTCAGTGTTGGGGTGAGCAGTTAATCATTTCGAGTCGCCCTTTCAGTGGTCTGTGTATGGAATAGCTCAATGGCAAACAGGCGGTGTCATTATAGTGCCGCTAACACAGTGAAATCTTAATAGAACGAACCCCACATTAACAAACCTTTCAGATTAACGAACTTTTAAAATCCCATGCCAACTCCAAATAGTTTCGATGTAAAATTATTTCACTACTACATACTTCAGAATACGGAACTTTTTAGATAACGAGCCATGTCCTCGCGACGCACAAGCAGCAGACGACGATCTCCAGGAGCGACCATCGGGCCAATGGCGAGGCGAGCTGAGGCAACATGGGGGCCATGGCCAATCAAGGGCCTCAAAACGACCTTCAAACATTTGATCTTTGTGCGCTTGTTGTTAAAGGGAAGAGCCAGATGAGGCAAAAAAGTTAAATACTGGGAAATGCTCTTTCCGATGAGCCCAAGAAGCCGGCTCCTGGCCCAAGCATTGCGAAGCTATAATTTTTTTTAAATCGCTGTTTTCTCGCCATTTCCAGAAAAATTTTTGCTGCCTAGGTGGGTGAAATGAATTTTCCGGAGCACTTCTGCACAGTTTTCAGTGTAGATATTTTGGAACCAGATAGAAAAAGGGTTCCAAAAACTGAAAATTGAGTTTCAAAAAATCGATTTTTTTTGCCATACACATTTTTTGCATAACACATTAGCGCATTTGACGGCCCAGTGAAAGACAGGCCTTGTGGGCAGCAGAGCTGCAATTAAAAAAGCCAGATTAAAGAGCATTATGCGTGTCCATTTTATACTTACAAGGCTAAACCAGCATGCTATGCAGAATAAAGCCAAGAAGGTGTACCCCCTGAGCTTTCGTTTTAGGTCAAGTGCAGGGATTGGAATTAATGCATTGGAAGTAGTGTCGTTGGCGGAAGCAGCCAGCTTGTCGGCCAAAACATTCCCTTGTATCTCACGGTGCCCTGGCACCCAGCAGACAACGACATGCTGTTTTGATGTGTACAGTGTGCACAGAAGTGAGTAAAGTGACACCAGCACGGGGTTCTTGTGTTTTTTAGGAGTTTTCAGGGCTTTGACCAAACTTAGCGAATCTGTGTATATTACCGCCTTTTGTAATTTTATCTGTTTGATGTGTTTTACGACCGCCAGTATTGCGTAAGCTTCTCCTGTGAAAATGCTTGCATCAGGATGAAGAACACCGGCCTCGGAAAAAGGATTGGCCTACCACTGCATATGATACAGAAGCGTTAGACTTTGACGCATCGGTGAAAAACTCTGGGCATGTGTATGTTGTAGTTCTAGGAAGTATGCATATATGCGTGCAAGTGGTGCGTGCTTTGTGACTTCAACAAAAGAGACATCACAGTCTATAAGCTTCCACTGCCACGGTGGCTGGAGACCTTCAAAAACACGCACAACCCGCAGACTTCTTTAAGTAAAACGTGCATTTAGTGCTCAATTGTGCATTTTTTTTATGAAAAAAGTTTAAGGACCCACCGTTTTAAACGTAAGTCATTTAGGTCAATGAAATATAAGTATTTAAGGTTAATTTTTGGGCTTTCACTATATTGACTTTCCAAAATAACGAACGAATTGCCGCAGCCTCCCGAAGTTCGTTATACCGAGCTTTCACTGTATATCTTCGAATATTTTAGGTCATGAGCTCACCTTGCCGAAATAAATTGTTTGTAGTCAAAGCGCCTGTGCTCTCATTCATTGTCGAAGCTTTCCTCACTCTTGCATTTTCTCAGCTGTTTCGTTTTTCCTAGCCAGTACGCTGAAAAACGTATGGGCCTGGTTCCACTGTATTTGAATAGTTAGGCCTGTGACAGGGGCCAAATGGGTCAGCACGGTAACGTGTATAATGAATTTCAGCAAAGTGTGCCTTCTATCATTTCTGTGTTATTTCAATGTCAACTAAAATGTCCATTACACTTCACAAAACCCTGAGGCCATGTTCCGTTTACTGAGAGATGACTAAGGCTGCAAAATACAAGTAGAAAACCAAATGTGTTAGAAGGTATCTTCTGTTTAAGCAGCAGTTCAGTTTAAGAGATTTACATTTACTGAGTCTACTGCATCACAGATTACCTCTCCCTACTTTGCCAAATAAATGTTGTCAAGAAGCCAATACATTACACCTAATGCATAGCAAGGAAGTATGTCACAAATACAGTCGAATCTCATTAATTCTAACACGCTTAATTCGAACTCACGATGAGGTCCCGTCAAAGCTATTTGTATTCCAATGGGCGGAAACGCCCGGTAATTTGAACGCACAAGCACTTACGACGGTTGATTTGAACATACTGCGCTCCGAAAATGCTCTCAGTACCCCACCTTATGCCGCAGCGGCACCTGCGACACCTCAACGCTGCGCACGAAGGAAATGAAAAGGAAAGAAAAGGCTGCGGTAGAATGTTTGCTCTCTCTCAAATGCCGATCTGTGACGCGCCCGTGTCACGCTTCTCCCTTTTCCGTCCTTGCCACGTAAAGACCCTTCTCCTTTCAACACCGAACGCAAAGAGAGAGAGGGGAAAAAAAGAAAGCTGTCGCTGGGTTGAATGAATGTGTGGTTGAAGGAAAAAAAAAAAGGCAATATCTCTGCAGCCCTTGCCCCTTGCGGGAGCACGGCTATGCGCATTGAGGGAGGGAGGGGGGGGTCTCTAACAGGCCGGTGCCATGCTTTCCCCTTTCCCATCCCTGCCCACAGCCCTTCTCCTTTCAATGACACGTGCAAAAAGAAAAAAAAAAATGCTGTGGAGTGTCGGTTTTCTTTCAAATGCCGATCTGCTTCTCTCCGCGTAGAGACGCTCCACCTTTCTCGTCATATGCTAGCCATGCTGCGGAGCGGAGAGGCTCCACTACGCAGTCGTCGTTGTCTTTAGAAAGTGTCAAAGCTGGACATTTTTGCGCGCAACTTCTCTTGCCAGGAGAGCGCTGAAGCCGAAGTAGAAATACTTTGCAAACTGCATGCGAAATTGATTGACTCGCTGCATGGCAAACGTGTGCAGATGTGCATCACCGATTACTTCAGTTAATAACGGATGTCATGTGATTTGTGAATAAATGTATGTCTTCTGAAACTTCCCCCTCGTGTGTTAGCTCAATGCACATGTGCCACTGCATGGAGAGCCCTCCGTTTATTTAGCTCTCATTAATTCGAAGTTGTTTTATTTCGAACAAACTTTCCGGTCACTTCGAGTTCCAATTATCGGGATTCGTCTGTAGTTCATTAAGATATGATAAAAAATGAAAGTACACAGCAAGCCATAGCAAACCAATTAGCCCAAAAAGGGAAGAAGCATGTACCCTGTGAAAGGTCCGCATTGAGTGTAGTCTCCTCAAGCACAGTGAGCTGTTCAATTTCAGAAGTAATGAGGTCTCCAAGGTGTGGAAGTAGGCCTTTGATGGCCAGGTAGTGCTTCCAGTAGTCAGGACCAATAAGGCTCTGGTAGAGAGACAGAAACTTTGCTCCACTCTCACCGGCTGTGCCTAGGTCATCCAAATATGTTGTGAGCAGGTCCAACATTTCCCGGCACCTCGATGGAACCTGAAAAACATGAGTAACAACCCTTATAGACTTTTACCAGATTTTGGCATAACAACCAGACAAATGCCTTGTACAGGTCATGAAGAGACAATCATGCCTGTGAAGTACTACACCGAAGTTCAAAGTCTGCTTGAAAAAATGAGCTAAGAGCCAATTTAGGAGGCCTAGTATAGTCTCTAAAATAAATAGCTGTGAAGTTATTTAAAGTACTTAAGCTCAATATTTGTGTTTGGCTACGTTTAGACTTAAAGGGCCACTCACCAGGTTTGACGATTTTGAGCTGACAAGCGCAATGCGTAGATGAGGCGTTCACGATCACGTCTGCTAAAATTTGCAACGCTGCACGCCGTGGAAATGGGTCAAATTTCAAGATGAACGATGCTCCCTCTTCCTTTCGCGGATGCGCCGCGGCCAGAGAATGAGGGCATGACGTGCGCGTATGAATGGCCCTACGTACATGGCAATGCAGTGACGTTGGCCCTCTACGTAGACGACTGGGCTCTGACGTTGCCGAGAGTGGCACGTGACATGGCGAAAATTATTGAACACGACATGCGTAGTTTACGCATTGGTTGCTTAAAAAAGATTAATAAAACTTTAGATAAATAATGCGGTGCAATAAGAGAGCGTGAGCTTTCTTTTTATTTTCATCTTTTCCCTGTGAATTGCAACGAGATGCGGGACTAATGTGCTGGCGTTTCGCATGCGTTCGTGTTGCCGTGGTCAGTGCATCGAGCAGACGACAGCCGTGGAACACTCCTACGTGTTCGTGCACTCATTGTGCTCATCTATTCTACCGTGTCTAAGCCAGCGTTTCCAAACCATCCCGCAGAAGAAACAGGCAGTAAGCCTCAAAACAACGATGCCCCCCCCCCCCCCCGAAAAAAAAAAAACACCGCCCGCGTGCATGGGGGTCGGGCTTGTTCGGCTAGGCTACGCCATGCACACGTGACCTCTTGGTCGGATGCCGGAGAGGGTAGGAAAGAGATTTGGTTTGCGAAGACTATGCGGAGTAGCGGCAAGGCTTTCGAGCTCGCCTCCTCTCATCCTCTTTTTGTGCCGCTTCAAAAAAGCAGTTTTCTCAGCTCGTAATGACCAGATTCAAAAAATTTTGTAGCAAAATGTTCCTCATCGGACAGTCAACCACTTCCATGGTCTAACTAAAATTTGGTATCGGGCCTGGTGACTGGCCCTTTAAAGGAGCCCTGACAGTAATATGTAGCTTTGTGTCCGATGATGCCGAAATTGAATTGTAAATGCTCTAATGTATAGTGCACTGAATACTAGTGTCATTAATTTAGAATGGTTTTCTGTCAGCTCGAAACGCCTGCCTTAGGACCATAAGAAACTAGTGCCTCATAGCAAGTCAGCATCCGAGACTACATGGGCTCCAGCTTTGGAGACGCTGAATACGTTGTTTTCAAAAATAGGGGGACCCGCATGCGGTGAAGAATGAAACGACAAGGGTGCTTTGAGCACGTCTCCCCAACAATTAAAAAAAAAAGCATTCCTGGTGTAAGCAGCCAAAACCACCTTGAGAGGAGCCTGACAACAGAGCAAGAGAGGTGATGATTAGTCCTCACCAGGTGCCAGTCGGGGTATCGTACATGCCCCGCAAATGTTATCGCATGCCAACAATACTTTTTGACCTCTGCAACATCACGAGGGGGCCCTTGTCTATGTCAAATCGCAAAAAATTTTTGCGGCAGCATGCTCACATAGAAAAAGTGTGCATACTTCTTTTCATTAAAATTTTTGAACATTGAAAGGTTGAAAACTTTTTCACTCGTTTTGCTTTGCAGACGGGTGCTCAACCATACAGTTTTATTTCGTGCACTCACTTGCGAAGTTCGCTTACATTACGAAAGAGCATGCCAGTTGCTCTGATGCTAGTGAGTCAAGAGGCGATTTTTCCCCAAGTGCCAAACCAGAATCTTATTCATTGGATGGATGCGAGTTTGTCAGACGAGGATTTACTAATGAGTGCAGGCTCGACATCTCGAAAGTATGCGTGGTGAGAAATCCGGACTAGATAAAAGATGACTATTCCCCAGTTTTGAGTGTTAGAGCAAAAACATATTTTTTCTGGAAAATTACTCTGGTGTGCTTATTTTTGTCTGTCTTTGAGCTATGTTAAATAAAACATAATTTTTAATTATAAAAAGTCATATAAGATTTTTTTGATTAAGCTTGATGTTACAAACTGGTAATGTTAGGTTTGATGTTGCGTTAACATGTCACCGAGGCTGCTGATCTAATTGGCTCTGGAATACCTGGAGGTAAGATAGGCTGGTAGGGTGGTGGTATCTGTTGGAAGAGATATCAACCACTCTGTCATCTTTGTCTCTTTTGCCAGACGACATGCATGCTGCGGGGTGCACTGTGTGATGACCTCAGAGATTGCGCGCAACCTATCGAGGTCTAGACTGGGCAAAGCTCAAATTGTCGAGTGCGCTCATGAGACCTCTGGGATCGTCAGCGATGCCAGCGTCTCATGAGTATAATTGTCTGTAGGGGCCTTGGTATGCGGCGTGTCACTAAATTTGTGGTTTGAATAGTTTGATGATGCTCTAGCCTAAACAGTGACAAAATTAAAAAAAAAAAAACCTTTTCAGGGTCCCTTTAAGCAAGACGCTGTAGAGGAGGGCTCAAGAAATTTTTACCGCCTGGCATTTTAGCGTAAAAGCAAGGCGACCACATAGCAGGGAGCACATCCAGCTTGGAACCACACATTACGACACAGAAACAACTATGAGCTACAGTGGCAGCAGTGGCCAATGTTTCAATTTATGACACCCTGTCGTAAGGCCAAAGCTTAGGGAATGGCCTGATAATGCACAATATACCGCATAAACTGAACTATAGGTCGAATGGGAATATAGGTCGACCCCCAAAGTTCAGGTAACCGAAAAAGAAAAAAAAAAGAAAGTAACCCGAAATCGCCAAACGACATTTATTTGCGAATCGGGCGCACCGCACCCCAATTGTCGGAGCTCCCCTCAACCACCATCGCAACTGTTCCTATTCGTCAGACGAAGCACCACTGTCTTCTGAAGACGAGAGTTTGTAGCTGGCCACCTCCCACAGTGCATTGTCTTCTGTGCTATACAGCGAGTTGCTGATGGAACATTTCTTAAAAGCATTTCCCATTATGGAATCTGGCTAGGAATGCCAGTCGGAAATCACCCAGTCACAAACAGTTGCAAGCGAAGGCCTTTGTAGGCGGCTCGTCTATGTCTTTAGGTCGTCACCGGACATCCACTTTTGGTACTCTAGCCGCACTAAGTCCTTGAACGGCACAACGTCGATCGGTTGGAGGGTGGACGTCATACCACCTGGTATCACAGCGAGGTTTGTTTTTCCATCGCCCAGTGTGCGTTTCACAGCGTCGGTTAAGTGACCACGAAACGCATCTAAAACCAGCATGCTGCAAAGACGCAGCAGTGCACCTGGCTGACAGTTCCAGACTACTTGTATCTTTCGAGCACCATGGCTTCGTCCATATATCCCTTTTGTTGACCCGAACGACAACACCGAGCAGGAACACTTCTTTCAGCATTGTGTTACGTTAGAAATCATGAAGGGCGGAAGCTTTCTACCATCTGCCATGCATGCCAGCATGACGGTGAAGCGCGAGTGCTCGTTGCAGTGGACAACAGCTTCATATCCTTGGCGCCACGCTGCATGATCATGGTCGATGAAGGCATGTCAAACCACATGGGGGTCTCACTGGCATTGTCAATCTGCCCTATTATGTAGCTGTTCTGCTCCCGCAGCCGGTTCACGAAGCCCTGAAAGTTTATAAGCTTGTCCTCAAACTCGTCTAGAAACTTCTGACAGATGGATGTGCGCCACCAGAAAGAAAATCCTTTGCGTCTCATGAATCGACGCACCTAAGAGTTTGGTGCACGAACTCTTCTCTCGTGAGCCCAGCTTCTCGAGCGACTTCCACAGGTTTCTTGTGAATGGTATCCAGGGTCACTGGCAGTGAGCACGCATGAACTCCCCACACAAAATTCCCTAGCATATCCCCCAGCTGCAGATGAACCACACTTCACCCACGAAATGACATTTTCCGAGGATTGCACGTCTGCAGCTTCCCTTTTTGCACCCTCCAATAGCGCACGCTTTTTCCAATACACCAAAGCGGCGCTGAGCAGCCATATTTCCATTCGCTTCTGCGAACTCAACAACCTCTAGTTTAAACGCAGCTGAGTACTGCCTTCTCGTACCGCTACTCATATTCAGTGAACGAAAAAAAAAATAACACTAAAAATCAAACACAATTTCAAGCAGAGCGAGAACTTAGAACAGATCGGAGGCAAATCACGAACACAAAAAAATGAACAAGAGAGAAAGAAACAAACACCTGCAAGCCACATGTTGCCGGACAGCAGTGCACTGTCGGCTAGACACTGCTGTATAAGACGAGGGGCAACTTTAGCTCGTTGTTTTATTGAAAATATCACGACTTATATTCCGGTTTATATGGTAATCATGACTTGTTAACATCCAACATCACCACCAAAATGGAAAGAACAGACATGGTACTTGAACCAGCTTTGACATCTTGCCTGCTATTCCATAAAAAGTTCTAGAAATGTTATTTCTCAACCCGTCACACACACTTGATCACTGTTCACCATTTGTTGGGCTCACCTGGCACAGGGCTTTAACCAAGGTACAGGCCACAGTGCGTGCTTGGCGGCAAGACGGATTGAACAAAACCTGGCGCAGCCAGTTTGATTGAAGAGGGCGTGGTCGGCGTGGCTGGCTTTTGCTGGCCTGCTGTGATGGCTGTAGGAACATAAGAAGGCGCAGAGAAGAACCACCTCGGCGAGCTAGTTGGCGCCAGCGCAAACCATACTTTTCCACCAGAAACCGGGCACGCACGTCCTCACGCCGTTGTCGCTTGCCTCCACCAAGCGAGAGGGTGTCAGCAGGTCGCCCCAGGCATCTGCTTTTCCAGGCACTGTATGTCTGCAGTGGGTCTCCATCCAGCCATCCCTTAAGGTCCACAGCAACACACATGCCTGCAGATGTGTGTATAGCCCAATCTTCAAGTTTAACAGCTTTCTACAGCATTCCTCAACATGTGTAAACAAATTTTCAGCCAAAGAAGAGGCTCAGATGAATAGTGCTAGCCAATTATGATGACAAATGAGATGATAATGAAAATATTTGGGTAAGTAACAAGAAGATACTGCAAATGAAGTGCTTCTTAGGTACAGCTCACTCCTTTCCTAATACAGTTAGACCTTGGTCTAACAAAGCCAGTAAAATTGGGAGTTCAGTGTTATATCGAAGCTTAATTTCACTGACAAACTTTCTGTCCAAAGTACATCACATTTTTTCACATACAATCCGTACTGAAAAACAATATGCGCTTGACAAGTGGGGGTGCAGGTTATAAGCATATTTTCCCCCTTTTTGCAGTTAAATTAGGGGTTCAGGTTATACACAGGGGTGGGTTATATAATAAAAGATATGGCAGTTGCCTCAGGTTCACTTTTACACAGATGATGTCGCAGAAATGTCCGATTAATAGGGCACGACAAAGGAAGAAAAAAAAAAATCTTACTAACAATAAAAAATTTGTTGCATTCCATCTGATATTTGGCGACCAAGTGATGCCATACTAGTGAAAGCGTCACCACAAGAGTTGTACAGCACATGTAAAGTCAGAAAAAACGCAGGTTCAACAAAGGGTATAGACCTTTTTAACGTGGGCGCGCCATACTGCCTAGTGAGCGACGCCGTGCCTAGTATGGCAACCCACTGGAGCGTGCCAACATGCGTGCGAAGTTCCGCGTTTTTATGAAAAATATTCATACGATTACAATTTCTGTCAGTATTTTTTGTTCCAGCAGGCTGAATTTTGTCTCAAATGATGCAGTATAGGTAGGAAATGAGGCCATGTGACGTTCTAAAAGGTTTTGATCTATTTGGGGTCAAATACGATGATATCCGAAGGTGCGAACATGTGGCAAGTGGTCGGTGCCGTATGTTTTTGGCACTTTCTGTTCAAAAAACGTTAGAATATTTCAACCTTGTTCTAGCAGGGCAAGGAAGTGCTGGCACCCTTTTAAGATACAATAATTTTTTTTCCTAGACTGTAATATTTAAGTTTGTTCTTTCACTAGGATTTGTTTCTGCTGTTGCAGCAACTACAACCTATTCAGGCGATTGTGCGTGATCGAGCAGTTGCGATTTCTTGATCGTGCCCACAAGCTCTTGTCCATCTTTTGCTCGACCTTTATGAACCCTCATCACTTGCTCATTTATTGTCCACCGGTGTGGCCCAAATTAGAAGTGATTGTGGTGATACACACAAAGCGATGCTGAAGTTCGCACTTATTTTTCTCTTTTTTTAGAGTTGTGGCATTTGATCGGATTGCGGCAGCTTTAAAGTGAAAATATTTAGAGAAAGATTCTGGTTAGAGTTTGTCCTGCCGATGAGGCACCAAGCGCGCTCAGGCTAGAGCCTATGACTTGAGGGGGCATGCTACTTGAAGACACTTCTTTTTTAATATTCACCCTAGAGCAATAAAACTTGAGCTGTTTATGAAACTTTTTATGCCGATTTTAAATATATAATTAGTTTCCTTGCAAGCTGCCTACTTTTAGGTCTGCAACATGACAAAGTAAAAATTTTAACCCTTTTGCCCCCCCCCCCCCCTCTTTTCATCCCTGAACTTCCGTAATTTTATACCATTCATAGTTCATAATGTTTGAAATAAAGTGTAGAATTCAAATAACCAATTAGAAATGCACATACAAAATATGTAATAGGCGTGAAAATAATAGACGTAAAAAGTCCGTATTTAACCCACCCTAGTAAAGATTTATGTACAATTTTTTTAGTACACAATAAAATATTGAAATTTAGACTAGATAAAGACTAGATAATTGTATTTGTCATACTTTGGAAGAAATTTGGGCAAAATTTCATGCAGATCCGAGCACTATAAGTGCCCGAAAAAAGAGGGACACATTGAAAAAAAAATAGCAAAATTTGTGTTGTGAGGAAAACGAGTTTTAGAGTTAAAATTGAGTTTTTATTTATGAAAAATATCATTAAAACTGATGAAATTTGACAACCACAAAAAAACAATCCTTGTAGTGGCCACTGCCACTAAAATACGCCAGCACCATAAGTTTGTCCCTCTTGGCTTTTTCGAGCCGAATCCTCACAGACATTTCGCTCACAGACAGGGCCACGAAATGCTTGCCAAACTTCCGCTCCATCTGGCAGAGCCATGTGCCAACTGCAAGCTAGGAAGAAGTTCAACAGGACTGCGAAATCCATACTAAGTCCAGTGTCATGCCATTTTGTGTCCATGTTTGTGCCACATACGTCGTACATAATGGCAATGTCGTCCCTGCTAAGTTCCCTCACTGCGAGCTCTTTTGACCTCACAAGATTGGCGCTGACCTCATCCATTGCCGCATCATGAACTTTCCGGCTGACGGGTGCGAGCATTGGCTTTTGCAAGCCAACAACTGCCTCAAATCGGACCAGCTGCTCATAGCCTACTCTTACAGAGCGCGCCACACAATGGCTTTCACTTGCGAGCAATGGCTTTTTTTCATTCATAACAGAGATAATTACATGAGAAAAGCATTGTTCAGCTGCGCTGCTCGACAAGACATGGACACCACAAACAGGCGTCACAGCACATACAGGCGCACAGCGGCCAATGACGGTCCTCGATCGGTACCATGTGACAAGCCATTCGCGGCGCTCGAAAAATGCACGAAAGCGTGCTCCTTTTTATTATTTCTAGGGCCGCATCAGTGAGAGAAACTGTCGTTATTTGAAGAGTGAGGCTCGACTCTTCGCCTCATGCGATCGAAAATTGCGAGCGGAGGCGCATTATCGGCGGCAAGGTGCTCGATGACTGCATACTTTGGGCCTTTTAACAGGTACCTTGTGCTCTTTAGACGCAATCTTAAAGCATTTCCAGTTAAGCCTCGACCTGTAATTTTTTTTTCTTAACAGTAGAGGTACTAATCTTATCAAAGCAGGCAAAAATAAAAAATCGGTAATTTTGAAAAAAAAAAACAAAAAAAAACTCGTTTTTCGACCTGCATCTTCCCTTAAGAGTCAATAACTTTGTCAACCAGTAGTACACCTCTTGAGAAATCTTGGCCGTTGTTAGCAAAGCTAAACAGCGAAATTGACAGTTATAAAAACAATAGACAACCACAATTACGTGGTTTATTTTGTTTTGCTCTTAGAAGAGAATTAACTATGTTGCGCATCATCGCGCGACTTATCAGACGCGGTTCTTGAGCGCGCAAAAAATTGTTTTCCTGAGGTAATTACGCCAGACACGAAGTGACAGAACTTTTTTTTTTCACTATTCGGCTTTCATATTGCACATCGTGCACGATAGATTCTGTTGTCTTGGACAAGTTGTACACTCCCGATAAGAATTCCACTACATCATGTAAAATTCAGTGAACGTTTGTGTTTAAAACGTGTAATGCCGGTTATCTCGCTGCGAGGTGTTTTTCGTTTGTGTTAATACAGTCACGTCAAGAACATTCATCACAGTGTGCAGGCGAGCTTCGAAACCAAACCCATCATACTAATATGTAACAATAAAATGAAGAGAAAACAACACAGGTGGCTACACAAGTGGTGCTTAGATGTTTTGTAATGAACAGGGACGTACTTGACAGCTTATGTTTGGTCGTCAATATTCAATTGTCATTTGGCTGAGTGGAACACTGGGCATTCAGGGTATATGCGGCACTTGCTGATACAGAACTTGTCACATAACACAAACAATGTACTACTACCATGAAGTAACTGCAAACGCTGCGCGTTTGGAGATACGTGCCGCATACTGTTCAGACAGCAGCTTCTTTTTTTTTTTTTCCTCTATAGTTCTTAAAACAACCAAAAATAGCACGGTGGCTTCCCGTTCACTTTTCACTGGCTGAGATTGCCATAACAAAGAAGAAAATCCGCAGTTCGACCAAGAACATGTTAAAGTTGTTTGAAAACGTCACTCATCCAAGCAGCAGCCAGTACACTCCGCACTGTTGGCACCCTCCAAAAAGGAGGGAACTACTGGTTGCCAGTCCGGTCCTTCTCACCCAATGGAATGGTCTATAGCCTCCTCAGTCCCAGTATGCACTATAGAAAAAAAAATCACTGCCATGTCCACAATGTGAATGATGTTAGAGGAGCCTGCTTAGAGGTGCACGGGGGGCATTTCTTGCCGAGACCATTCCTGTAGAGATGGCTTGTTAACGAGCTGGTGCATGATGCGCACGCCAAAGGCCACATTGTCGGTCTCGTTCCACGGCCGACACTGCACAGGGTTGGCCACTTGATCACCTGCCCCTTTATGCCATACTGGCCACTGCCGTGAGTCAAATGCCAAATGCTCATTAGCAGACGTAAAGCTATCAAGGTGTTCTTCATGGGGTTGAGAGTAGGCAGATGAGGTGGCTTCGGAGGATATCGGTTCCCATGCGTAACACTCATCGTAACTTGTCACGCGCTGTCGTGTCTACGAAGCCACGAAAACGAAGTGAACATAGTCGCGAGCGCACGGGCCATCGAAAACAGATGCCTTGGGTGGCAGCATGCCATCTAGTGAGCATTGTTGGAATCACCGAAGAAGCGACCGAAGAAGTGTACACTGGCAACAGAGGTCTATATGCCGGCACCGCCTGACAGGGCGCGAGCATAAGAAGCTTGCCGAGCAAGCTATTAAAAACTTTTGTGAAAAAATTATTTTATTTGGCTTCCTGCCCATATAAACAAATGTGAAAAAATTCGACCTCAAAAATTAAACCATTATATGGGCTTGATGTGCCACCCTCTGGCAATGCAACTGACTGCTACTAGTACAGTAGAATCTCGACAATACGAATTGGAAGGGAGCACGCAACGTATTCGTATTATCTTGAATTTGTATGAGCCAGAAACAAGTTGAAGCTGATAATGAAGACAAACAAGAACTTTATTGGCAACTACTTTTTGCTGAATAAAGTCCATGATGTTTTTTCGAAC